CCTGCATCTCCATCCGCCCCTAGATTCACTAGATGTTGGATGATTATGATCTTCCAAGTGAAAAGTTGGTTTATAAACCACACTATAGATACATCTACCAAAAGCCAAAAACCCTTTCGTTCTAGGCAAACCCCAATGGGCCGTCGCACACATCGCCGAAGAACCCGCTGTCGCGATTCGTCAGATTGGTGGTTTGGTTGACCCCTCAGGACTGAAATGATCGCCGTTTCAGGTACCGAGTTGGAGCTACCTACCATACATTAAGAGCTATGTAAGCGGAAATGCCTCCAAAATATGGCTTTATGTGATTTATATGTGACAAGACCTCTGTTTTAGCGTCTTGAAATTCCCATTGAAATAAGTTTCCTACGACGCATGGCATGCCGGTGGTTTCTGCTTCAACGCATCCAATATGGTTTTTTTGGACGGTCCCCTCCACGCACGGCTCAGCCCAGGACGAATTTGTAGAACCTCATCTCTGAGTAGAAAGATGCCGGGCGTGCAGGTGTACACTGGTTGGTGGTAGTATGTGTATATTTGCATTTATTTATATATAAATATATAATTACATAATTATGTTTATATCTTATTAATATTATATTATATTTTAGCATCTTATATTATATTATTGTATGTTAAATTATACTATATTGTACTATAGTGTATAATATTATTTTATTCTATTGTTTGTTATATTATATTATATTATATTAAATTATATTATATTATATTATTATATTATATTATGTTATATTATATTAAATTATGTTATGTTATATTGTAATATATTATTATGTTATGTTATATTGTAGTATATTATGTTATATTATATTATGTTATATTTTATTGTATTATATTTTCTCATATTATATGAGATATATATATGTGTGTGTGTGCATATAAGTAATTCATCCAAGAAGGATTGTAAGCAACTCGAGCAAGTTGGGTGGTACTGTCATTCCGGGAATTGTCGCTGAAATTCGACCCAGAATTCCATAGAGAACACTGCAGGCGAAGTCTCCCAGGGGACGCCGGGACACAGACTCCATGGTTCCAAGGTTTTACCGTTTCCTAGCCTTGACCATCTTGACCATAATTTCATAAAATGAATTTCATAAAATGCCTATGGATTTGGCTTTGCGGAGGTCGTAGGGGTCATCCCTGGAATCAAAATGAACTGCAACCATTCTTCCTGAAATCCAATGGATGTTCAGAAATGAGATCGAGAACAGATTCCGATTGGTCCTACTATTTGCTTCACCCCTGAGGCAGCACTCTGAGTCTCAGGGCACTCTTTTCTGACTCCCCCAAGTTAGCAGGAGGCCTGGGCCAGATTTTTGATACACTGCTTAAAAGACACAAAAGGGACCACAGGTTTTGGCCCTCTTGAATGCTAAATTGGGCACTCTTGGAACAAGTTTAACTTGCATTAATTTTCACTTGTCTTGTCCTTGTCCTTGCTGCGTCTTTCTTGGATGTCATATTCGCCTGGTAGACTAACGATTAGAGTCTACTGAATGTAGTCATTTGCCAACGCTGGTTTCATTCGGACCACTCCAATCCACTTGCCACGGTAGGCAGTCGTAATCCCGGAACTGAGTGCAGATCTTCTCTGCTGCGTCGGAAGCGCTCACCTGGAATTGAGTGGCACTCTAACCCACGAATCATGGGCGCATAATTGCTGATGAGGCTGATGACAGGAAGTGCAACCACTTCCACATATGCATGCATGCAGATATATATATATATATATTATATATATATATATATATATATGTACGTATGTCTATATATATATGTGTGTGTGTATTTATGTCTATCTGTATGTATGTATGTATGTATGTATGCATGTATGCATGCATGCATGCATGCATGCATGTATGTATGTATGTATGTGTATATATATATATATATAGGCTCGTCCCTGCTCCTGGAACCACATACGATGGGGTGGGGGGGTGGGGTGGGATGTTAACGTTCATGTGAATTAACGTGGGATGTTAACGTTCATGTGAATTAACGTTCATGTGAACTTGCAGAAGCAGTTGATGCTACGCACGCGGGGTGGGGGGAGGGGATGGGGTGGGATGTTAACGTTCATGTGAACTTGCAGAAGCAGTTGATTGATGCTACGCACACGCGGGGTGGGGGGGGGATGGGGTGGGATGTTAACGTTCATGTGAACTTGCAGATGATGATGATGATGATGATGATGATGATGATGATGACCCTAATGAAACTCGTCAATTCCGCGACTAAATTTCGTCACGGAATTGACAAGTTTTACCAACCTAATTCAGGTTTGCGCGGTTCCAAGAGCAGGGACGAGGCTATATATACATGTGTGTGTGTGTTTGTATGTATACATACGGGTAAACATACATATGGGTAAACATGTTTTCCACACGGTGATCCACATATGACATGGCAAGCGGCAAGAGATGGAAAGAGGCCAACCCTTTGGGAGACTGAGGCCGGATGCCTGCGATCGGGTTGCTGCCTGGGCCCGCCGAAAAAACCGTCAAGCGTCGTCTGTTTGGTGGGTTCCCCAAGCCATAGAACATTGGCCCATCAGGGTTTCTTGTTTTTTCTCCTTCATTATCACCATTATTTTCATCACCACCAGCATCAGCATCATCATCAGCATCATCATCAGCATCAGCATCAGCATCACCATCATCATCATCATCATCTTCTTCTTCTATTGTGATAATAAATGGCGCAAAATGAACTCACCCACTAGCCATGTTCTCCCCATTCACACCGAACATTGGAGCACAAGCTATCCATGGCCACTATCCTACGATGGAAACGTTGCAATCGACTATGCACAAACGGTGGCTATAGGCATTTGCTTTCAGAAATCGGTGGATGGAGATGGTTCCATGCTTTCATACCAATGACAAGAGCCAATCTATGGACCCGGCAAGACCAGACATGATCTTTTAAATTCAATTCATACGCAACTCACTATGCGCTTTTTTTTGGCGTGCGCTTCGATTTGTTTACTGATGCTTAGCGTTCATATCTCTTGTAGTGCATTCCAATGATGATTAGCCCCTGCCATCAATATGCTTGGGTTCATGATGGTAAATTTTCCTGGTGTGAAGTGTGAAGGATAGCAAAGGTATAGGGAGATCTCTGGCCCAATTCCATATACATCTTATACACACACATATATATATACATACATGCATGTATAAAATTGTATGTATATAAAATTAATCATGTAGCTGATTAATGAATTGTACATATATCATATATATATATATCATATATATATCATATATATAATATATATCATATATATCATATATATCATATATATCATATATATATATCATATATATATCATATATATCATATATATCATATATATCATATATATATATCATATATATATATCATATATATATATCATATATATATCATATATATATATATCATATATATATCATATATATCATATATATCATATATATCAAATATCATATATATATATATCATATATATATCATATATATATATCATATATATCATATATATATATCATATATATCATATATATCATATATCATATATATATATATCATATATATAAATATATCATATATATCATATATCATATATAAATCATATATATCATATATATCATATATATCATATATATCATATATATCATATATATCATATATATAAATATATCATATATATCATATATCATATACATCATATATATCATATATATCATATATATCATATATATATATCATATATATATATATCATATATATCATATTTATCATATATATCATATATATATCATATATAAATATATATATATCATATATCATATATATCATATATATCATATATATATATATCATATATATATATATATCATATATATCATATATATATCATGTGAACAATTTTATCCTTGTTCTGGATGTGGTTATTGAGTCGTAATACCTGTTATGCTGGTAGTTCCGGACAGTGACACAGCATGGCAAGCAAAGGTCGGACTTTTTCCTCGCGCAGGGACTTGAGCCAGTACGGCGTTTCGATGTGCAGTTGTGCATGCACATGATACATACCCTAGCGTTCAGTTCCCTTTGACACCCCCCATGCCCGTGGTACCTTCGGACCACGGACACGAGAGAGGGAACTTTGAATTAGAATGGTTCTGCTACTCGAATTACGCCTATTTACAAAAAACGTGCCATTCGGCTCCCCCTTTCCCACATACCCGACGGGAATAATGGTTCCGGGTTCGCCTACTCTATGGCTGTCGATGCATTGGCGCATCTTCAAGCTGTACATCGTGAATTATTGCTAGCTAACATCTACTTTTCTACGTTGGCTAGGCATGCCACTCACCCGACGGGAGAAATGGACCGCTTCGCTACCAAAGATTTACAATGCTAACTAACGAATTCACGTGCACTGTGCAGAACTTCGTGCAGATTGGGAATATTGAAAATCTTGGACCTAAGCGAATTAGTCTAATGCCTCGCTCAGAGTCCACTCAGTTGTTCTTTTCCTGATCATCTGTTCACAAAGACGATACACATCTTATATTCCAGTGATCATTTGGATGAACAAAGGTAGTTGGTTTACTGCTCACGGCGGACTTTCTTCCATTGAGGTGTTGTTGGGGATTTCTCCCATCCTGCCGCACGTTTCGGAGCAGCTTTCGGCGATGACGGCTTCGCAGGTGGTGCTTTGGATGGTTCATAGGACCTCGGCATAGCCTTGGCCTTTGGTGCACTGGCCGATGAGGATGACGCTGAACCAGTGCCTTCAGGTTTCTGTGAAGGCTGTGCTGATGATTTGGCTTTTGCGTCTGCGGTGGCAAACTTGCCAGCGGCACTACCCCCGACTGCTTTGAATACCTCACTCACCACTTCGTCGCCAAGGGTTGGAGCCATCTTCATTTTCATCTCGGACTTTCCCCTCTGCGCCTCGGCTTCAGCCAGCTGAATAGCATATGCCATCTTGCTGACAAAGTTTTGAGGTAATGGAATTCCGCATTGTTGTGCAGCAAAGAGTAGTTCCACCCTTTGTTCCTTTTCTCTCAGACTCAGATATACCGAGAAAGCTGGGAGTTCAATGCAGTTGGGAAAGCCGTGGTTCCCGGAGCGAAAGAAGGTGTATGATTCATGTTCTGGAAAGGTTCCTTTCAGCAGTCCTCGGAGAAAGTTGCTGATGGTCACTCTCATCTCCTGTTTCCCCTGTGCATCAGCCTGCATTCGGTTCATTGGCATGAGGAAACCCAAGGACTCGGGAGTGTACCCAGCACATACGAGAAACTCCATCATCTTTTCATAGACCTCTAAAGTCTTGACGACAGGCATCATCATGTTTCTCGGTCGTCCAGAGTACATCTTCTCTCCTTCTGACCATGAGTTCTTCTTCCCTTTCTCCTGAAAGAGTTCGTCCAATTCCAGCTCCGTCGGTCGCTTGAGGTTGCCATCCTGGTCTTCGCCTGTATAAGGGCAGAAGTCGTCCAGGTCCAGCCGGACCCGCTTGGTTTCCGTCATCATCGCATAGTATTCCTCTGGGGTCAGAGTGACTCTCTGTTTGTAGTAAAGTCTGAACATTGCGATGATCTTTGACATCACGGCGTTGTCGTACAAGTGAGCCGCGGCCTCGGAGACATCATTGTTGACAAGTCCGTCTCCCGGCATACCCTTGCTTCCGCACTCAAGATTCTTGGTCCATGCTGGTAGTTTGGATGAAGGTTCATTTTCAGGTTCGACGTCCATCTCATCGTCGTCTTCTTCTTCAACGATTTCGTCGTCTTCCTGTTGAGTTTCCTCCTCCTGATCCATTTCTTCATCATCGCCTTCATTGTAGTCGACCTCGTCAGGGTTGAAGCCATAGTCGTTGGATTCGGATGCGTTTTCTTGTGCTTGATGGACCGTATCCTTGAACAACGATTCTTCTTGTCGACGAACCTCTTCATCGAGCTCTTTCTTTGTGGCCTCATCTTCATCGTCTTCAGGAGCTTGTAGCCGATATGGACGAATTCCACAGCTTTCAAGTTCTGTCCAGCAAACCAGACACACTGCAAGCTTCGTCGGCGTCTCGTTGAGACAATGAGGACAATGACGGCAACCTGAAGTTTGCACCCTTTTGCGTTCGACTATGTAGTCAATCAGCTTGATGCGGGCCAGGTATTGCTCTTGCCCGCCAGGCTCAATGAGGTTGTTCCTGAATTGGTGGACGATGTTCATGGCATCCATGGTGGTCTCGTCATACGGTTGGTCTTCGGCGTCGATGCATTGACTTGCGACCCTCAGGATGGACTCCTTGGTGGCTACAGTTCTCGATTTGACAGTGCCAGACCGGACTACCTGGTCGTCGCCCGACGGGACGAACAACCGGAGCCATGTCTTGTTGTACTGGTCCTTGGGATCCTGAATCCATCCTCCTTTGATCGCCGAAAACGGGATGATCTTTGGTGAAACGATCTGTCCCGAGTCAGTCAATCGACCGCCATACTCCACCATCAAGGTCTCGGTCGGGATGAATAGGCAGATAAAATCCCCCTTTCGCGTATCAACGCTCTTCGTGATGGTCCATGATCTATGATCCCATGGCACATACGGGTTGAAGAACGTGAACATCCGATGACCTTCTCCAAGACCTCCTGGGATTAACCCTTGCCTCCAAATGCTTCGGAGGTTGGTCTTCTTCGTGATGTGGAAACAGACCGGTAATGGCATGATGGTGTTGGGTGCGATTGGATTCGAAAGCAACGATGACAGCAATGATACGTCATCTCTGGAAGATCCTTCCTTGTGCCCCGTTGGGGCGCGGACTGCCACTGGGTAGAGCAGTAGCCCTTCGTCGGGGATGTGCGTGTCCGCATCGACTTTGTTGTCAATGCACGTCAGGCTGCTGCGATCAATATCCTTGTTGATCCCGAACGCCAAGACTTGTTCACGCACACGACGTCCATACCGAGCACAATGGAACATGATCTTGAACAGCAATGTCATGCGATAGTTCGCCTCATTGACATTCCATGCATCTTGATCATTTGCTCTTCCTTTGGGGGCGAGGAAGACGTGTGGCCAGCGTGCGTGCTCGTGTCTCCAGATGGACTCACATTTGAGCACTTCCTCAATGGGCACCCAGCCGGCGTCATCACAGAACAGACTCTGTGATTCTGATACCTTCCCCACGTTGTGACGTAGGATCCTGTTCAACGAGGTACTCACCTTGTCCTCGTAGCTGTCGAGTCGGTTGCCAGTCTCGAAGCGATAGTTGGCCGCATATTCCACACCGCCAAAGTAAAAGCAGTTGAAGAAATGGGCTCCTGTTGTAGGGATGATTTTCAAGAAACCATCTTGCGGCGCCTCGATTCGTTTGTAGAAGGGCTTTCTGATGTTGTTGTCAGAGTAGCTTGCAAGGAATTCTGGCACTGACCAGGTGTCACCTCCTCCTCTGACAATAGCGTCTCGGATCACTTCGTTGAGGTCAACGACGTTC